CTACTTTGCTGTACGTATGATGATGTAGCAAACCGTTTTCCTATTAAGGCTGGACTACCATCAGTTGTCCGATGGTGAAAGGTTGGGAGAATTGTGTATTGCAGAATCGTTAAAGTTTTGGTTTATAGAATTCTACACTAAAATGAAGTAACTCTCTTTCTCTTTTCTTGTATATATATATATATATATATATATATATATATATATATATACTTTACCAGATTCGTTGCAAAAAAAGGTCTAAAAAAGGAAGTCGATGGATGCAGGTGACCCACGACCATAGTTTGATGCTTCGTGGCATTCCTTGGGGAGACCTATAAACTTATACCTACAGATTTAAACACTCAAAGTGTAGTCGGTATGTAAAGTTCTGTGAATGGTCGTAAGAATCGATTCAAGAGAATTTAAAAATATATTATCATGGCTCCGATGGATATCGAAACAAATCATTTCTATTCAATACATAAAATGATGTGTCTTTTCCTAGTTTGAAGAGCACCTCCCACCTTTCCTCAATTGCGTGCACTATCCCCGTCACCATTAATCCCAGTATCATTGCTCCCAACACGACTACACTAGGAAAGACACACCACCGTCGATAATGCGACACGTGTTTCGCCTCTACACGAGGCATCCTCAGAGATGATCGATAAGATAAAAATTTGTATAAAGATGTGATAGTGAATTCACCGATTCGCCAGCCAAGTTTATTCTCAATCAACATTGTTTCTGACTCCGAACGAATTTCGTGTCAGCTATGACCTCTTTATGGGCTAATAATGATGATAATAAAGAAATTCGTTTATAAAATAATTGGAATAAAACGAGTGTAATAAAAACACGTTTAAAATAAATAATTTATTTGTTCATAATTCAGTACGTTCATTTAACCAAAATTGTTTGATCATACTTGCGCCCTTTTCACCTATCATTATTGTTGGTGCATTTGTATTACCTCTAACAACAGACGGCATAATACTTGCGTCTATCACTCTTAATCCTTCAATTTTATGAACCCTTAACTGAGGATCTACAACAGCTGTTTTATCACCACTGGGACCCATTTTAGCAGTGCAACATGGATGGTATAAGGAGAACGTTAGTTCCCTTGCGACACATTCTAGGAATTCATCGGTGTTCTTGTTTAAATTTTTACAAGCTTCTAATTCAAGCCAAGTAAGCTTTAATCCAGCACCTTCGAAAGTTTTCGTCTTACTTAAAGTTAATGTGAATTCCTTAGCGTTTCTTATGAGAACTTTGAGATCTTCCAGCTCTTGAAAATAGTTAGCAAAAAACAGCGGATGATCATTTGGATTCGTACTATTTAAAATTAATCTTCCAATTGATTTAGGTTTTAATAACACATTATATATCATTATAACAATATTGTTTTCATTCAGTTCCTCGAACTTTCTGTGTATATCATTGTTTAAGCCATGTTTAGCGTGCACATCCACTAAATTGGCTAAACGTGGAGGGAATACTACATAATGAAACTGAACTTCTGGACTAGTGGCAACAGGATTACTGGAGTTGACAAATGCTATAATTTTGTGTGGACTTATATCTGAGAGGATACCCTTGTTTGTTAACATATATTCTGTAAATGATTTTGTTATATCTGTTAATGTGTTAAAGCTTCCTTGCACTGGTGCACTGTAATAAATTGGAAAGAATACATGATCTTGTAAATTTTCGCCAACTGGTAAATCAGCTTTTACTTCAATGTTTAAGTTTTTTAAATGCTTTCTTGGTCCTATGCCTGAGAGAAGGAGCAATTGTGGTGTGTTAATCGCACCACCTGATACAATTACTTCCTTTTTCGCATTAACTGTTATTTCTTTTCCGTATTTTTGAATTAATACGCCGCTAACTTTGGTTGATTTGGGGTGAAATAATATTTTTGTTACGTGACCATTTTTAAGCACATGCAAATTTTTTCTGTCTTTGATAACGTTTAAAAATGCTTTTGCTGTACTATGCCGTTTGCCGTCTTTAATTGTTGTATATGCTCTAGTTATTCCCATTTGCGTCGGGCCGTTAACATCATCTAATTCTTTTACTCCTAATTCAGTTACAGCTTTTATGATAATTTCTTCAAAGGTGTGTGCGGGACCAGGTTTTTGTACGTTAAGATATCCTCCCTTGTTATGATACTTTTTTGTATCTTCCGTTAATGGGTCTGAGAAATTTTCACTTTTTTTGAAGTACTCTAATACCTCGTCATAACTCCAACCGTAGTTTCCGTTAGCTGCCCATTCATCATAATCTAATTTATTACCTCTCACATAAAACATCGCATTGATACTACTACTGCCTCCTAGAGTCTTACCGCGTGGATATGAACAGCGCTTTTCTTTATATCCTCTACAAATTGATTCCTGGGGTTGGTTTTTGTAACCCCAATCCACAGAAGTATCGATATTGTTGTAAAAAAGTTGTGGGATCTAAAAATAATACAAAAATAAGTATTTAGCAACAGAATCGTACCTTAACCAAAATTTAGAAGTACAGATATTTTCGTTTTGTCTACAAAAGGTGAAGTATTTTCTGTCCAAAAAAAAAGTTACAGCCTATATACGTCCCACTGCTGGGCACAGAGCTCCCCTCATTTTTGGGCGGGTTTAGGGCAAGGAAGTGTCCGCCGCGCTGCCCCAATGCGTGTTGGTGAACTTCACATGTCTTCGAAATATTTTTTTTCTTATTCCTCAGACATGCAGGATTCCTCGCGATGTTTTCCTGTCTTACTAAATAATCATTTTTGACCAAATTAAGTTACGTTTGTGTAAAAGTTATCGTTTAAAGTTTTGTACCTCTGTAGCTAGATTGGGATTCCCGCCGGCTTCAACAAGTAGAACCTTCCAGTGTGATATCTCGCTAAGCCGGTTAGCTACCACAGCACCGGCTGACCCAGCTCCAACTACTATGAAGTCGTAGTTGGGGTCTATAGAAAAATATGGGTTAGATAATTTATTATAATTATAAGATATTATTTATTATAAGACTTCGTTTTGTAATTTATTCTTGATTCGTATTTTATATTTACTTCGTAATGATATAATAATAACGAACATAAAGTTGTTATTATTTTTATATCTCTGAATCAATACATATCTCTATCTCTGATTCGATCATCTATATTTACTCTAAATTCACAAGAAAATTTTAAGAGAATTAAAAAAACGACGGTTAAGGGCGCGGGCTGCGTTTTAAATATGTCATGGGCTTGATACGGGTACCACCATTCGACTACTTTCGTGAACCATTCCTAGTACGAGCACTTAAAGCTTTGTTGGCTTGGTGTGTGTATTAGTAGTTTCAATTAGTATTGCTTTATACAGGGTTATTTTGCAATAATGCTTAAGGTTCAGAATAAGTAATATAGGCGAATGGTAAAGAAAAATTAATTAAAAAAAAATATGGTTGACCTTGCAAGCCATCCCTGCAACTTCCCGCTAATTTGCACTTAACCTTAAATGCAAAGCGATTCAAATTTTAACTCTTCAACTGTTTTATACGTTTTAAAAAAAATCTAGTTATTTAAAAAAAAACTCCATTTACGAGATTTCTTTAGACAACGATATTTCTCCAACGAATGAACCGATTTCGATCCGGTTTGATCCGGTTGATCAAAACAAGGGTGTTTAAGTAATTCCAACCAATTTTTTTCAAAATTAGAAAAACTCGAATTTTTGAGGTTTATTCATAATCTACCGTACCGATTTGGTCTTAATTCACATGGAATCTTAGTTCAGAACACGCACGCTCGCACGCACGCACGCATAGACGCACGCTCGCACGCACGCACGCACGCACTTCTGGAAAAAAATAGGGTATAACATGTGAACGAAGTAGATGCCTATGGCACTGATATATTACAAGAAATAAAAACAAAAATTTTAATTAAATGAATAAATAAATTAAAATCCATCGAAATTCAAATCATATCCACCCTACTTTACGAACGGCAATAAAACAATAAATTAAGTAAGCATCTTTGACCTTGTCACTTCGCAGTGTCACAGGCTCAAGGGAAAAAAATTGTTCAAAAAATTTTCCCACGTTTAATTCATAATTTTAATTTTTTGTAAAATATCAGTGCCATAAGCTTCTACTCCGTTCACATGTTACACCCCGTTTTTTTTCAGACGGTAAAAAAGGTAATCCAGTAAATATATCAGGGAAATACCGCTGACTGACTCTTGACTCATCACGAGATCTCTAAAACCGTACATCCGATTGACTTGAAATTTAGTGTAGTTATTTATTTCGCAATGTAGACTCTCAATAAGAACGGACTTTACAATAGTCCCATCAAAAATATCTTGATACTTTAGGTAGGTTCCGCAATAAAATATCATTGTGCGCCCAGCGGAGCGAGCGGGTATCAGGTAGTTGGGTATAATTTCAAAAAAAAAAAAAAAGTCGTTGCCTGATGTGTGTCAAGTGAAGTAATAACGGTATATCACTATTTATATATTTGACTTAACCAAGTTTGGCTACTCTTTGAAAAATAACCCTGTATAATACATTAAGAATAAAATCACAATATATCTATATACTACTATATATATATTATATATGAAATGACCCAAAAAATCAACTAAAAAAAAAAAAAAAAAAAGCATAAAAACCACGGCAGGCTTTTCCTCATTTCTGAGAGGGTTTTAGGGCAAGGAAGTGTCCGCCGCGCAGCCTCAATGCGTGTTGCCGAACTTCCATGTCTCCGAAATATTTTTTTCTTATTTCTCAGACTAGCAGGTTTCCTCACAATATTTTCCTTAAGATCGCAATTAACAATTTCATTGATGCCGGCGGGGATCGAACCTGGATTACTTCGCGTTACAGCGTTCGTTAACCATCTGAGCTACTAGGACATTTTCATAAATGTCCTTAAAGGCTAAAGTTAGTATACACCCATAATATATGACTGCAGCGTGGCTCTACCACGTATAAAATATTAATATCTAAGTAAAATCCATTTAAAAAGAACTTGATACCTTCGAGAACTGCCTCCGTCGCATCAGCTGGCCATAAATGATCTCCAGACAACGCGCATTGCACTGCCAGAAAACTCTGCAGAGCTTGAACAAAGAGTGGCCCAGCTACTTGATAACTGTTCATTATTTCTGTAGTAAGTGCGGGATCACAGGCCCACATCTTGAGAAAATGCTGTCAAAAAATTGTATATTTGTTACGTAATATGCTGTGAATTTGTTAATAGTACGCGAGCAATCCAAGCGTGAACCTCCTAATCATCATCATCATTTCAACTTGACACAAGTCCACAGTGAACATTAGGCCAGAGGTTCTTCTACATATTTATTTATCTTGGTCAAGTACCACCGAAAGTGTTAATCGTTATTTTAAAATGCTCATTCACTATGTGCTCTGTTGAGAATTAAACATCGTGAGGAACCTACATAACTGATGGATGAAAATTATTTTAATTGTATGTAAATAAAGTCTTTTTGTAGAGTAATGAGTATATTTGTGACGATTTGATTGATGACGACGTTATTTGGCATTTCTTGGAGAAGGCCTATGTTTAGCAGTGGACCCGTAAAATATAATATGATGACACTTAATGAATATATAAAGAAACCTGTACCTAGAAGTCGAACGTATAAGTATAGTTCTTTTTAATATAGCCCCAGCCACTTGAGCTGGTCAAAAATTATTACGTATCATGATTAAATAATATTTACGTAAATAATTTTGCTGTCAAATGTCATACTTAAATTATTGTTTGTAGGTGCTTTACCTTATCAATACTGAAAAAGTGTGTCTTTATAAAAAAAATTGGTAAAAATCAACAAAAACTTATTCAGGCTTAAGCTTTACTTAAATAGACAATAAAATTTTTAAATCAAATCGAATCAAATATGTAGTTTATTTGTGATTCACAGATTACAAAAAGGTCGTAATTAAATAAAAATGAAGTCAAATATCATATTCGTAGTTCATTGATTACATTTTTGGAAAAATAAATTTAATTATTCATCTTAAATTACATTAGTTATATTGGAGTAGATATTCATATTAGATTATAATATGCATAAATTTTATTTTAAGCACAATTTTACTATGTCATCTAATACAGTCAACCGGACTTTAACTTTGAGACACTCGACAAAAAATCATCACTAGAATAAAATGAATGTTCAATTAGAAAGTGGAACAATTATTTTTGATAATCTGTATATCGTTACACTCATTGAACATCAAAGAGTGTAAGAGTGTTCCGGATCTTATTGTAAATATTTGGAACCATAGTAAACACACTTTTTCCATACAGGGTAGTTTTATATATTCCGGCAAAATTATTAAGTATATAATCTGCTGCTATTACGAAATCTCGAAATCTCTAGTTTAAACAGTGATAGTTATTGCGTGATAAATAAATCCATTTCAAGTATGTATAGTGATGGTATGGTAAGCAATTTTAATCCCTACAGCTACCTATCAGTTATTTTTAAACCAAACATAGTACGGATAAACCTTTTTTTTGACATTTAGACACTTCATCCCATCCCAATACGTGCTGTTTTCGAGACTCATTACGAATCGTCTCGCACGCAGACTTGACGACTTCCAGCGTCCCGAACAAGCCGGTTTCCGAAAAGGCTTTAGTAGCATAGACCACATACATACCCTTCGGCAAATTGTACAGAAGTCCAAAGTGTACAATCTGCCACTTACCTGACATATGTGGACTATGAGAAAACGAAATTTGGGCGGTGCTACAGTCTCTTCAGCGGTGCCAAGTTGACTGTCGGTATATCGAAGTGCTGAAGTGTTTGTACAGTAAGGCTACGATGGCTATTCAAGTACAGAACCAGAGTTCGTAACCTATCCAACTGAGAGAGGTATAAGACAGGGTGACGTTATTTCCCCGAAACTCTTCACCGCTGCATTGAAAGACGTTTTCAAGCTACTGGACTGGAAAGGATACGGTATTAACATCAATGGTGAGTACATCACTCATCTTCGATTTGCTGACGATATAGTCCTTATGGAAGAATCGCTGGAGGACTTAAGCACTATGCTCAATGACCTCAATAGTGCCTACCAACGGCCTATCCGTCTTAAGATGAACATGGAAAAAACAAAGACCATGTTTATTGTCCATGTCACACCTATGCCGGTAGTTGTTGAGAGCATTAAGCTGGAAGTTGCTGACGAGTACGTTTACCTGGGACAAATAGTCCGACTAGGTAAGTCCAACTTCGACCGAGAGGTCAATCGACGGATTCAACTCGGCTGGGCGGCGTTCGGGAAATTAAGACGCATCTTCTCGTCAGGTATACCTCAAAACCTGAAAACTAAGTTGTACAACCAGTGTGTGTTGCCAGTGATGACCTACGGAACCGAGATGTGGTCCTTCACTGCTGGCCGTATGAGGACGCTCAAAGTCGCTCAGCGAGCTATGGGAGGGCTATGCTCGGAGTTTCTCTGCGTGATAAACTTAGAAATAAGGATATCCGCAGTAGAAACAGAGTGACCAACATAGCCCAACGAATTAGTAAGCTGAAGTGGCAATGGGCCGGCCATATAGCTCGAAGAACCGACAACCGGTGGGGAAAAAAGGTTCTCGAGTGTCGAGACCCCCACTAGATGGAGTGACAACCTGGTAAGACATGCAGAAAGTCGATGGATGCAGGTGGCTCAGGACCGTGCTTTGTGGCATACCTTGGGGGAGGCCTATGTTCAGCAGTGGACTTGTGAAGGGCTGTAATGATGATGATTCCAATTAGTTGCCTTTACCAAAAAGATTATTGCATATCAACCTAAACCCGGACGCAACACAAACATGATAAGCCATAATTATCTTGGGGAGACTGACTTTTTTACTTACATATATAACATAAGATATACCGTCACCACTAATCCCAGCACCACTACTCCCAATACCATTAGTAGTGGTTTGGGATTAGTGCACGCAATCGAGCGAGGGCGGGAGATGCTCTTCAAACTAGGTAAGAGACGTCATTTTATTTTATTGAACGGATGGTTGCAAAGTAACTATTAATATCTTTATTATAATGGATATCCGCAAAGTAACGCCTGATTCTATTAATTATTTCCTTGTTACAAATAAAAAAGTGTCTCTTATTTTTTGTCTTATTTTTTTAATAAAACCGATTCTCAACGCATTTATTAGAGACTTTATTGCGGAAAACCCGAATAAAAACTTTAACTTTACTTTAATATTGCCTGTTGTAAGAACCGGTTCAAAACGCTTCTATTCGGGCGCTTGATATAACATTTTAAACATGCAATATAATATATGTGCAACACGTATTACATTTTTATGTTTTTATTTATAAAATATGCAAAGTTTTAGGTGAAGCAACTCAAGTTGACTGTATATTAACCATAAACAACTTGATTTACATTTATTGTAAATTGTGCTAGCTCCTGAGCCCTATTTTTTGTGGAGTAAGGTTGACGAACGAGCACACAGTCCACCAGAGTAAATGATGTGACTCATAGACATCTACATTTATCCTCGATTAAGAATCAAAATGTAAGTGTTTTGTCAGCCCTGAAGACTGACTAAGATGAAATGCCTCATTTCCAGTAAAAAGGGTCTCCGGATCTCTACACTTACCATACGAAACACAGCAACATTAAGCTGCTATTTTACGCTGATATTCTGTGAGAGCGTGGTCCCACCCCGTATGAGCCGACCCAATCGTGCTACAACCATAATATAGCTATAGCTCTACCACGTAAAAGTATCCCCTGATTAATAACCAGTTCCACATAATTTTAATGAGCACGAGAGTAAATCGACTTCGATTCCTGTCAGAATTTTCGCACTTAATTCGGTTATTTTCAAAGAAGTTGAAAAGTGATGTTACTCGTAGAACTTATTTTATTATAATGATAATAATGTCCTCCAGACCGAATTTCGGCCACGGCGGCCTGCCTCAACGGAGGCTAGCCATCGGCGCAGGACAGGATTATATGTTATCCAGCACATGCACTCTCTATTCCCTCACTCTCATAATCCGATGGGACGGTAAACCGACACGACCGGAGAGAGATCAGGCGCAGGACCGACGGCTTTACGGGCTTTCTGAGGCACGGGTGTGAGACACCGCCAACTTCCTGACTCCGGGCAGCTAATAAGAATTTCTTGACAGAAAAACTCAATAATTGATTTTTTGGCCCGACCCGGGATTCGATTGCACTACTACAACCACTAGATCAACGAGGCAGTTATGTTATTATATGGATGATATTAATACTTTATGTTTAATTATAAATACCATTTAGTATTTTTTTAAATCTTTAAACATATTGTGGTTGCAAGCTTTTAATATGTATTAGATATATCTGTGGAAACTTCATTGGTTTTACTTTACTTTTATATGTTTTATTATGTATTTTTATTATACTGTATGTTTCCATTAAAAAGCAAATAAATAAAAAAAATATCACGTGGTACAACTTTTCTACTTAAAATTCCGGCGGAGTAGGTCAACCCTCTTACCTATTTCTTTTTTTTTTAATTATTCCAAGCCAGCACTTAGCTACAGCCGTGGTAGCTCAGATGGTTAGCGCTCGCTGTAAATTTCACAGTACGCGAGCAAACCGGGTTCGATCCCCGCCGGTACCAATGAAATTGTTTATTGCAATTTTAAGTGCTGATTTACCACGTGCTCGGCGGTGAAGGAAAACATCGTGAGGAAACCTGCATGTCAGAGAAATAAATAAAAAAATACATTTCGAAGACATGTGAAGTTCGCCAACACGCATTAGGGCAGCGCGGCGGACAATTCCTTGCCCTAAAACCCTCTCAGAAATGAGCGGAGGCCTGTGCCCAGCAGTGGGACGTATATAGGCTGTAATTTTACTTTTAACTTTACTTAGCTACAATACACCTGATGGTAAGTGGTGATGAAGCTTAAGATGGTATAGTGCACTGACTTAACAAAAACCTAGTCACACTCGCGGTGAATACACCCACGTTGTAAGCGGATGGAAAGACAGACGCTGGCAACTTATTCCACTCCTTTGCTGTACGCATGACGAACGACGTAGCAAACCATTTGGTTCGAATACGTGGTAAGGGGGTAATCTGTGGTGGTAAGTCAACAACGAAAGATTTCTGACGAAAGAAAATTTCTGACGATAAATTGCGTTTTTTGCACTGCTGTGTTGCGGTATAAGTGGGGTCTGAGGTGTATAGACTAGATTTAATTTTAATTATGTAATCAATTTGACAATGACATTTTGCTTAACTTATTTGACATGTAATCTATTTGACTTTTAACTATTTGGCATCTATTTCTAATTTTTAATTTATTTATTTGATCTATTGGACATGTATTCTTTAATTTATTTGACCTTTTGACATGTATCTTATTTTATTACTAGTATTTAAAACTGTAATTTGTAAATTAGCATGCTGACGTTTTGGGCATACTGTAAGCCAGTAAATATAAATAAATATAAATAGAGAGGTAATTTAATTACAGGCTGGGAGGCAATTCATATTAGCTCTCAGAGCTGACAACGCGTTTGCCTTCTTTGTTCAAGGTTGGCTGTAAGTGCTCGTGGACTACAGTAGCCACTTACCTTACATAAGGTGGTACAGTCCACCTTATGGTAAGTGGCAGCTGAAGTTACTTTGTCACTTTAATTTTATAATAAAAAATATTTATCGAAGTGTTTTTATGTGAGATTATTTAAGTGTCCACACTGGTATTTGCGTTGATGACTCAACATTAGGGATGGGCCGAATATGGATTTCACCGAATACGAATATTCTGCCGAAAGTTCGGTAAAATTTTTACCGAACCGAATATTAGGCCGAACATTATACGGCAGGATTACCTCGGTACCTAACCAATTTATGTCGAAACTTGTTACCGTAAAGTGCGCGGGATTAGTGCCGGACCCTTCGCCTCACACCCCCGCCACACCTGACATGTTATTGCATCATCTAAATCTAAATATAGGACTGAGCAAATTACGGGCACATGCTTGTGTTTTGACTATTTTTGTGAGAAAAAAAGTATTTTGTTGTGTTATTCTTAGTGAAAATTGATAAGTATATGACGAAATGAGTGGCAGGAGATCTACTATTTGGACCTATTTTGGAGAAACTGACGACTGTAACATAATGTTTCTGTTTTTGATTCCAAACAAAATTTTATCAAGCTTTCCATTTGCTATAATTGGATATAAATCTAATAATAACAAGTAAATTTAACCCATAAATAAAAATACTTTCAACAACAAAATTATGAAAGACCAATGGTATTACTCAATTTGTACATTTCCATACAGTGGATACTTTAGTACCACTTTAACGAATATTCGGTGAATTAGCCGAATATTCGGCCGAATACGAATATTCGGTAAAGATGCCGTATGTGCCGAATACCGAATATAAAACGAATATTCAGCCCATCTCTACTCAACATCGTGGAGTGGGCATTAGAAAATTCTGGAATAGTCACAGCCCACCAACCCAACCCCTATAAGCACTAATGCCTATCAAAAGGTACAAAATAAATTGTCAGTTGCAATTTCTAGTTCTGATTTACTTTATGTTAGACGATGAAAATGGTGAGAAATTATTAAAGGTTTTAAAGTCCTCCAACACGCGTTATTACATCATCATCATCATTATCATTATGCCGTGTAGTGGCGGTTAAGAATATCCACTACCCCATATCTTCCCGTGGGTGTCGTAAGAGGCGACAGAGGGAGACAGGCAGGAGATGGGCAGCAGCGTCTTCCTGATGACAACTGTGACGTAATAAAAAACTGCGGTTGCCAACCCGCTCGCCAAGCGTGGCAACTATGGCAAATACCCCCCAATGAATAAATACACAAACAGACGGCCCCCAGTCCCCGGCGGCCCCGCTATTCCTGGCTACGGTGGCGACCATGGTAACGGCGGGGCAGGGGGTGCTAAGAATCTCCGGTGGAGGTTCGGTTGCCACCTACGACGACTCGACCTGGCAACATATAACGCACGCACCCTGAGGACTGACGAGAAGATACTGGAGCTGGAAGAAGAGGTAAACAAGTTGCGCTGGCATATTATTGGATTATCCGAGGTCCGAAGAGAGGGGGAGGACACGGCAATCCTCGAGTCCGGCAACTTGTTCTATCACCGGGAGGGCGACCATCTGTCCCAAGGAGGTGTCGGATTTATCGTCCACAAATCTCTCGTCAACAACGTTGTAAAGATTGGGAGTGTGTCGACGAGGGTCGCGTACCTGATACTCAGAATCACCAAACGGTATTCGCTGAAGGTCATTCAGATTTACGCACCAACCTCGGCACATCCCGATGAGGAGGTGGAGGAAATGTATGAGGATATTTCCAGAGCCATACATTCCTCCAAAACCTACTACACGGTGTTGATGGGAGACTTCAACGCAAAACTGGGCGCGTTGGTACAATGCGGCGAAAATTTTCCGGTTTCAGAAAGCCGCTCTAAAACAAGATGGTCTGTTCCAAAAAGTCTTATAAACTGTGCACATGTTACTTTTATTTTTTGTGTACTGGTTTTGAGACAAATTTGAAAACATAATTCGTAATTTCAACTTTCTTTTATTTTACATAATAAATCAAAGTAAATAGAGTTTAATTAATGAAATAAATACGTTTTATATTAAATAAACATGTAAGAAATCAAATATGCACCATCTTTATTTTCATAACATGAGTAATTTATTTTACTTACCAATTAAAAATTAATTCGCAGAGAGCAAAACATTATCTTATATTAAATTCACTCACTTGAAAGCGCTTCTAAATTAGCTTAAAATGTTTCTCACTACGTTTCAAAATACTTTAAACTTTTAAAGTAAAAGTTTTCTCTTTCAAAGGTACTTATAATATACATAATGCACCTCATACATACATAATGCACCAACTTATATTTTGAAAAGAAAATTGTTCTTAAATTTTGAAACTATTCAACTGCTGGAACTGCCTAATATTATATTACAAACACTTACGTGGTTTGGCGGTGTATTTAATCGGTTGATTGCGGACTAAAAATTCGAAGTATATAATAAATAAAAAAGATCCCGTTCCCGCATCGATCTCGACGTGCCTTGCACTGGCAGCGGCCAACGCTACTCTGCTTGAAGTGTATGTATGACTTTTATAAGAACGCTAATTTATTATTATCGCTTGCGTTTTCTTACAAATTCCGACTTAAACGAGACGTTAATAGTATGTGTTCATTACCAATAATAAGTATTATGTACGAATGACAATTATTTTTAACTTTGGGCCGTACTGGAGTAACATAGCTAAAACCATCCAAAAACTAAGTATTCAAATCCTAAAATATAATAAACCTGTAGAAACCTCATTTTAACCTCATGTAAACCTCCATTTGTTATGAAATGTTGTGTACAAGAAATCTCAATCATAATTAGTTAATGAGTCTTAAACCACCGTAGTTATTGTACATTAATTGTTGTTTATAACTATTACTTTTTAATGGATTTGTAATAAGGTAATTGTTTAATCATTCATTACAGCCCTTCACAAGTCCACTGCCTGCTGAACATAGGCCTCCCCCAAGTAACGCCACAAAGCACCGTCCTGAGCCACCTGCATCCATCGACTTCCTGCATGTATTACCAGGTCACTCCATCTAGTGGGGGGTCGCCCTACACTACGCGTACCGGTACGAGGCTGCCACTCGAGAACCTTTCTTACCCATCGGTTATCGGTTCTTCGAGCTATATGGCCGGCCCATTGCCACTTCAGCTTACTAATCCGTTGCGCTATGTCGGTCACTCTGGTTTTACTGCGGATATCCTCATTTATGAGTCTATCACGCAGAGAAACTCCGAGCATCAATTGTTTAATAATACGCTATAATTAAGAAAGCTATTTTTGAAAGTAGATAATGTCTTAAAGACCAAATTTCGGTCATGGTGGTGAGTTTCAACGGTGACTAGTCGTATGGTTAGGACACTGTATACGTACGAGCACAGGTGCACTCTTTTCCTGCAGTCTCATACTCTAATAAGATGGCAATCCGACACGACGAGGGAGAGAGGTCAGGCGCAGGATAATTAAAAAAATATTTGTCGCCGACGTATTTTACCTTACTTGTTCTGTAAATTCACTTACAGAACAAAGTGGTGTTAGTAATAGAAATAATCCTGATAACTGCACATTTCACAGGTAATTCTAAAGACGTCGTCAATAATAAAACTCATCTATTTTTGGTTAAGATCGTATCACCAGAGCACTGATATTTCATTTTAACCTTAACCCGAAAAAATAGATTATGTTTTCCGACAAATGCGACATTTAATTGACCTACAACGCAGTTGTCAAATATAACAGATAACATATACGTGCGTGCGTGCGTGTGCGTGTGTGTAAAAGTCCAGCCAATGGAAGCCCTCAGCAGACCAAACGGCCTAGGGTTGGAAGAAAGGCGGTATCGAGGAGCACCGCCTTCTGCATTTAAGCCCGGAGCGGTCTGTCACGAAGTGCCAGTTGCTTCAGATGACCCGAGAGGCTGAATGGGGTTAGCCCGACACTTCGCAAACAGTTCGCAGGCAAAGGAATCATTTCCGTCGGCAGATCACCCCACATGTCGGTCACCTCGCCAGCCAGGTCGAGATATTTTGTTTTGTTATCTGTTTCGGCCTTCACGGGGTTCTTGTCGTACGGAATGGTAATGTTAACCAAAAATACCTTTGAATGTGTCCGGTCTGTGATGATAGTTCTGGGATCTATCCAGGGTCCTATCTTATTTATTTTATATAGTTCAGACATCACTAACTGTATAAAATAATGTATATGCAGATGACTTGCAAATATATAAATCGTTTTTCACCTCAGGGTTGTGAATCTGCTATAAAATTATTGAATGAAGATCTCAAACGTATTTTGTTATGGTCCAAGCAAAATTCTCTTGTGCTAAATCTACAAAAATCAAAACTTTTCATACTTGGAACAAATAAAAATATTAAAAATATATCATTGCTTATACTTAGCCCCTAGTTTAATTGATAACAAATATGTACAGCAAGTCTCTGAGGCAAGAAATTTAGGTGAAAGTCATGTACCTGACGGAGTGCGCAGTTGCTTTTACCGTTTGACGTTACTATACAAAGCTCGGCAGTAGATATGCGGATAAAATTGTGTGAATCATTAAAACTGTCTAAGTTGAAAACTATGCAGATGCAGCCTATGGACCACGACTGTTGAGAAGGACAGAGAAGCTCATACAGCGGATGCAAATGCATGTACTCGGTTTTGTTTTACTGCCCCGCCTCGAAGTCGTATAACGCCTTATTTAAACGACACTAATCTACTAAAAATGAGTACCCGGAGAAAATTACACCTTATTTTCGACAATACAAAGCAGCGACCAGTATACCTGTTTCGAAAGCTGGGTCCGAGACCAAAATAAATATCATATAAAAAGAGCCTCAAAACAACCGGGAAGGGAAGAAAGGTTCAAAAACCACCCGCACCCGTGTTCATTCTCTTGTAACAACTGGACAATGCACAGCTGCATATCGAGTTATAGCTTCATATTTGCAGTAACCCACTGTTGGAATGGTCTACCACCACCTATCCGTTCTCTAAAAACATTGAATAGTTTTAATAACAAATGAAAGTTCTATTATTTCGTATAAAATCAAAATACTCCGATTGATAATAATATTTATATAGTTTTACACTTTTTTATATGTATTTACTATGCTCAAATAATTGTTGATTATTTAGGTGTTTCTTTCTGTTACGTATTTAATAATAATAATAATTATAATAACAATAACAACACCTAGTAGCCAGAATTCTTCACCAGGAGCTTGCTCTGAAATACGGTCTCGTGGATCGGAAATTGTCGTATTACAAGTACTTGCCGGAAGCCGTGCTCGAAAACGATCGCGCCAGGCTCTACTGGGACCGGGCCATCATCACGGACAGGACTATTCTTGCGAATAAGCCTGATATTGTGCTGATGGACCGGGCACGGACAAGGATATTTTTGGTCGACATTACCATTCCGTTTGACGAGAACCTCGTGAAAGCCGAAACAGATTAACGAACAAAATATCTGGACCTGGCTCACGAGGTGACCGACATGTACGGTGGTATGCCGGCCGAAATTATTCCTGCAGTCGTCTCTGCGAATGGGCTAATCCCAGTCAGCCTCTCGGGTCATCTGAGGCGACTGGGACTCCGTGATGGACCGTTTCGGGCTCAAATGCAGAAGGCGGTGCTCCTCGATACCGCCCGCGTCGTCCGCCGGTTTCTTTCCCTTTCCTCCTAACCCTCGGCCGTTAGGTCTCCCCTGCCGAGGGCTTCCATCTGGTTGGGCTTTTATTTATTTATGTATTTTTGAATTTATTTTATTTTAATTATATTTATGTGTATTTATCTTTTCATTTTAATTTATAATTATATATTTATAGAACCCAACCGGATGAGAAAACTATATAGATACCCCACATAATAATAAGCTTTTTATTTGTCTCAGTTTACACATGTTATTAAAAATTTACAAATAGAAATTATCACAAACTTAGAAACATATCATCACAGTAATAAGACAAACTGACCTGTGACTCAGCTATGTGGTGATTTTAGGTCACCGCTGGTATTCTGCCACATTTGATGAATGGTCATTTATTATTTTTTAGTTTTAATTTTATTTTTTATTTTCTAAAAAATCTAGCAGGTCTCGTAACATGGCGTGTTTCTTGAGTACAGAACATAAATTATATATGTACCTACTAAAATTATAAATTTTATTGCTACTTTGCTTGAGGTTTAGGTTTAATAAAAAAAGTAAAAGATGTCTTCCCCTCAGAGCCAAATATTTTATGTGTAAGTGTAGGTGTAGGTATTATATAAATATACACTATACACCATTTATACATCTACTACTCGTATACAACATTTATAAAGTATGTGTGGCGTACTTGTATATATAGAGGTCAGTGATGTGTGTATTAACTGTGTTCGTTAGCACTACTCTCAAGCCAGTAAATAAAGTCGTAGTTACGCGTGATTGGTGGACAATTGGAGGTTCACATATCGAATTTTCAGTGTAGTCACAAGGCTCCAACAAAACACCAGCGCTGCTTTTGCAGCATTATGCTGAGTTAGGGACCTATTTGATGATTTTATTTTTAAATTATTTTTTTGTTTGTTATGTTTTATTCGTTTCATTATTAATTAACGTAGTGCATGTACTGCTTATTAATAATTTTTAATGCGTAAATAGTCTTACAACTGTGCATGCATATTTTGGTCCCTTGTATTTGTAATTTTATGTATTTCTTAAATTGTGTGTAAAATATGATTATAAAATAAATGATTCTTTCTTTCTTTCTTATGTATTCTATAATACTACATAGAAGTTTCTATTCGAACATGAACAATTATTATAATTACAACATAATATGTAAATATCAGCATCTGGATAACTGCCAAATTGCATTGGTAGTCGTCTTTTAGGAGAAACCTTATTGTTATTCTGAATAGTTTCCATTTAAATATAATCTGTTTCGTAATGAATAAAAGATATTGTGTTATTGCGAAAATAGCACTGAATACTAGTTCTTCATAATCAGTTATGGATGAGTCAACAAACTTTTTTTATAGAATGTGTGTGATAAACGAGCACACAATACACCTAATGGTAAGTAGATGTTGTAGCTCATAGATATTGTTGTCGACTAAGTTAACGTCATGTACCCAGCACTAGCGCCATCTAGTGTCGGGGACTAAATTTTGGTAATTCAATCGGCAGTTTTTATTGTCGCGAACCTCAACAAATCATACACTATCTCTCATTGGTTCATGTTAAAACGGGATTACAGCATATAAAACTTAAATAAATTTAAAAATGCCATCAGAAGTCTAAGTTTTAATAGTGTTTATGAATGCCTTGATCCTAATGAAGCGTTTAATTAATTCAATGAATTTTTTAAACTATTTTACGATCTTTGCTTTCCGACACTAAAAATTAAAATTCTTATAAATAGAAAACTTAGTTGGGTTACTAATGGTATTAAATAATTTTGTTGTAGACGTAAACGAGAAATGCTATGACATTCTCGACTACACCCTGATGAGGAAAAAAAGAGAAAGCTTAAAGTTTATACTAAACGATTAAAAAAAATCATTAATTTGACGCAAAAATCGCGTAATACTTATTATACCAACAATACGGATAATAAAACGAAAGCCACGTGGAAAGTGATAAATAAGAATAAATACAATTTCCCTAGAGATAATATTACAATAATTAATTTTAATAATAATAATAATATATATATATATATATATATATATATACACAATATATATATATATATATATATAT